GAGGGAGGGGGGGGTTGTGGGTGGGTGGGGGGGGGTGGGGGGGGGGGGGGGGGGGGGGGGAAGAGTTGTTTAGTAATTGGAAACCTAATCATTCATTTATCTTTCGAAAAGGAAAATAAAAATTTCTAAGCATTTTCATAAATAAAAATGAGTGAAAAAGCCATGAAGAGAGAGAGAGAGAGAGAGAGAGAAGGTTTGGATTTGAATTCGAAGATGGTTTGACAGGCAAATTCCGAAAAGACGAATAGGACAATCAGCTGTCAAGTCGTGCATTTTCGATATAAATAATATAATTAAACAAATGATCAAATGAAACAAAAAAATAATAAACGGATAGAGAGAGATAGAGAGAGAAGTAGAATGATAGAGAGACAGGGAGAGAGATGAGAAAAATTTCCTTTAGAACGAGAACTATAAGGGAAATTCAACGACAACCACTAAAACTCTGAGTCGATCGAATCAATGCTCATCGGGTGGAAGGAAGGCAGAGGACGGCTGGTGCGGTGGGCACAAGTAAACAGGAGAACGAAGGACAAATAAAAGACGATGACGGTAAAACAGATAAAGCTGTGAGGATGAGCGATCATGGAGAGGAGAGTTTCAAAGTGATTTAAGTGTTGAAGATTGAAAAGAAAATAAATTAAGATGTTTTGACTGATTACATTGAGGAACATGTCCGAGTGTCGTTGCGAGGTGAAATAGAATGAGAAATTCAAAAAACAAAATTCAATATTTGCACATTTTTTGATTTCATTCCAATCGCCTTCTCTCCACCTCCTTCTTCTTCTTCTTTTTTTTCTCCTTTTTTGGTTGAATTGAACAGTTTTGAAATAGCAGTGGCGAGAGAGTCATCTCATGAGCGCTCTCTCTCTCTCTTTTTCTCTCTCTCTCCGTTCTCGCGAAACATTCATAATTTTAAAAGAGAAAAAGTTTTGAAATACAATTCAGATTTGCTTTTTTAATTTTTTTTTTTCGAGAGGCTTTACAAAAGAAAAAATATTTTTTGTATACAAGCAAAGAAGAACACACCGTCAGATATACGGAGGAGAGAGAAACCACATTCACAAGCGAGTTGGTGCGTAAATCATCGGCATATATTTCATATTGAAAATAAAAAAAAACATTTTTATAAACAAAAATCAAAAGATAAGGTAATGTTGTTCCTTATGAAGTCGTTTAGTCGTGTGCTTTCTGCTATTTGTTGATTTTCTTGGTAGGAAAGTCAATATTATCTCAACTTGTCTGACATCTATTGAGTACAAAGAGGAACATACCTTCTATTCTCTCTCTCTTAATATCTCTCTTTCTCTCTCACATTTCATCTCTCTTCATTATTCATGATCTATTCGTTTCGAACAGCTCTCTTATTCGGTAACAAATCTGTTCGAACGACACTCATCTTCTCAACAAACTTCATTTTTCTGAAGCCGTAGAACAAAAGAACAAAAGTGAAACTTGACTGTTTCCAGATTGGTTACGTGGTCTTAGCAGAACAGATTTCAGAAGATGCTATTGAGATATACTTAAGATAGACTTATAGATCATATGTACAGCGATTACCGTCTTCAGGAAGTTGCTCAATCTTTCAATATAATAACTCTCTTTACCTCTCTATCTGCTCATCTCAGTTGGTACAAGAAACAGTTGCCAAAGTATTTGAAGCAGCACAAATGCAAAACTCCACTAGTTTCAACTTGAACTCACGTTAGTATCAACGAATGATTTTTCGCTTTTTTTTCGCATTTTCTCAACAAAAATAATTTTTAGGCCGAAAAACATTGAGTGGTTCGTTCGATGAGGAATTTGGACAACATGATGATTCATACGAAATATATGACCTTCAGGTTCAAAACTATAATGATAAACAATGATAAACATAGTTATCGACTGACAAACAAATAATTTTGAAATAGTATTCTATTAGTAATAAGTTCATATAAGGCATTTAGAGAGATGAAACTTTTGAAGAAGAAGCTCATCTAGGTGAGGGAGATTTGGCTAGAGCTCACTGGATTCAGCTTCATAAAACGAACAAACAAGTTTACTGAGGAATAATGCTTCTTGATAAGCTTGTCATTCTATTTTGCAGGGACTGATAGTTCAGAATGCATTCATACATATCCTGACCAAGTATAAGCACATTCGACCAATCTGGCATTTTGGAAAGAACATAGAAGATTCATCGGACGAATGGAAAACAATGCTCTATGAGGATTTTTATTTTCGGTAACTTTCAATTTCTCATCTGAGAAGAAAGAGAGAGAAAAAACAAAACAAAAAAGAAAATATGCTATTTTAAGACATCACTGTGCATCTATACAAGCTGGTCTTACAATGGTTATGGAGAATAAGGATGATTCAGCCGGAATGAGGAAATTATTAAATGAGATAGGCGCCCATCATTTTTTTTATGACGCTTGTGAGCCGCATTTGGATGTAAGAATAAGATTAGCATAATAAGAAGATAAGAGCATAACTGACATTGTTAAGGTTTTTGAGGAAGGAATCATTGAGTCAATGAAAACGGTTCTGCATGGCGTTCATTCATTGGATGAGCAGACAGAAGCTTCATGGCGTATGGTATGATATGATTGAATTGATAATCAATTCGTAATCATCACTTATAGCTACTACTAGAAATCAAAACATATATGAGCGAAGGCATTTCCATACAACGCAATACATATTTGAAACAGTGTATGACGGGACAAGAAATTGATTACATAAGGTTTAAATAATTATTTGATAGCTATATAGATAACGTGTCTTTAAAGGAAGCGCTGGATATCAGTAACGGAATTTGGTTTATTAGAGACTGGAAGACAATTATGTGAAATAGCTCTTCGAGTAAGTATCATCATATACATATGTATAGTTAGCACAAGCTTCTCAAATCTTCTTCTAGACTTATGCGGAGCTTTTGAATAAATATAATATCAATATGCCTATGCCGGAAATCTCAAAATCGCACGAAAATTTTGATGACTTTGCTAATCTGACCATTTCTGTATGTCTCATCTCATACATGTTTCTCGAGCATTCATATATCTCTTGTTAAGGCTATTGATTTGACAATCAAATCATATAGAGATGATTGTGGGTTCAGTCAACTGACTAGTCAATTGAAGGATTTCGTGACTACTTGTTTAGTGCTAGACGTTTGCCCACCTCTAGTACGGAAGTCTGTTATGCAAGGTGAATCAAATATCATTTTCTCATTTAACAATAAAACTCGACAGGGAAAAAAATAAATATGAATGAGATAGGAGTAGTAGTAGAGATGATGTGAAAAATTATTTTTCTCTTTGAAGGATTAATCAACACGTTATCAAAAATCTTAGGAGAGGAAGAAATGAGTGACGTGAACATCCAAATATGGAGTAAGCTCTATCGAGTATTGGAACAGGTACGTATGATGTGTTCGTTCGAATTTCTCCAAACCGGACTTTGGATGAAAACGTTTTTCATTTTATTTTTTTGTTTTAGGCAGTAATTGCGAACATCATTGACTATTAGACAGAAAACATGATGAGTATGCCTTCTCATCTATTATTTTTCGAATTCGCCCACTTACCTTCGTAACAGCTGATTCATTTTTTGATTTTAATGATGTTAATTGACTGTTCAATGCATGGTTCTAAATATATAATTTATTTGAATGAAACGAGTGAAAGAGCATTCTTATATGACTTACACATCGTTGTGCATCTGTGAGCTCTTTCTGAAGCCGAATTATGAGAGCTTCTTGACGAGCTACTGCCCCTGTAGTGTACATGACCGATTGGTCCTTCAATGATATTATCTTAAATAAAATGTTTTGTAAGTATTCAAACTCTTTTCTTGCTTGACTTACATGGGATGTATCAGATGCTGGTATGATCGAACGATCTGGGATTTCCTGTAAACGAGAGATCTTTTCAATTTCTTTTCAAAAATTAATTTTAGTACAAAATAATTTAAAAAATCATAATTAACAATATAAATTAGAAAAGAAAATTGATTTTTTGTATTTTCTGATGATACCTGTTTGTTATTCAGGACAGTCGTGGGGGGCGGCATTTCTACCCCCATATCACTGGTTTCAGCCACCTGAAGAACATTTCGGAGATGTTTGTTCAATACGATGTCAACAGAAAAAAAGAAATTTTACAAGCAAATTAAGATGATGTACATGATGACGAAGAAGATGAAGAAGTTGTCTTCTGAACAACTATCAACCTCGCTTTACGCATTGGAGTATTGAAGACGAAAGACTAGCTCTGGTGAGGTTAACTGTTTCTCGCAGAGTTCTGTTCTCACCTAATGGACACTACTTGTACAGAATCGGTCATCACTTCAGAATATTCACGTCAAATGATCAAAAATGATAAGAACTAAGTGGAGAATTGGCTTGAATGTCTTAAAACCGGCTAAACAAGCCAATCAAGGCTTTCTCAACGCGAGTGGCAAATCGAAGCAAAATGGACGGTGGTTGATAAAGAGATTTTCGAATCTTCTAATTACTAATTGGATTAATTGAATGTTGAAAACTGAAAAAACATACATACAACTACCGTGAAAGAGAGGAATCAAGAGAGAGATAGAGTTAGAGAGGGAAATATTATTTTTGATTCATTGATTCATGGTAACAGATGATAGAGAGAGAGAGAGAGAGAGAATGGAGAAAGAGAATCCTATCATATCTCTTTCTAATCAATTCCAATTAGACTTAATCAATAGTTCTGATGACACGGAAACAAATTCAGATGGACGATTCGTCATGAATGTTAAAATTGAAATTTGAAAATTGGTCTCATAAAAAACGAATTCGTAAAGAGACAGGACAAGACGACAAGGAAGCGAAAGCTTTGAAGAAAGCGCTGAACGTGGATGTTCAAGTGTATTTAGGAATTGGAAATGAACCGTCAAAACTGGCGTAATGAGAGAAGATTGTAGAGATTTAAACGAAGAAAAATAGATAAAAGAGAGGAAACAAGAGAAAGTTCGTATGAGAAGACATTCATCCATGTCTGGTCATATCTTTTCATATAAAATATGCTAATTTGTACAAAAATACCAAAAGCGTACTTCGTCTTCATGAAGTTGTGTCGAAATGGATAATGTTTTTGGCTGATTCAATCCCAAATCTATGAATATCCTGTCTTTCCCACCGTGTTTGATCATGATTGATGAATCTCTCTTATAAGTTTTCCTTCAACTGTCATCATCGTCTTCAGTTTACAGAAAAAAAAAGATTATTTTCCTTCTTATCACAAACAACGATAAGTTCGAAAGTACGAAACTTTTACTTCATATTCTTGATGATTCAGATGAGAGAAGTGAGAGTCACGCATGTCTCATAGGTCAGTAGCACAGCTGGAATAGTCACGTGCTTCTCCATATGAAGGATATGGAAGGTAACATCAATGGAACACTTTCTCACACATGAATCGAAAAATGAAAAGAGACGTGGGGAAAGGCGAGTGCCATGTTCTGACATTGGCTTCTCTCACCAGAAGGAGGTACGTTGTCGTTTAACGGAACAACAATCAACTTATTTGTTTTCTTCTAAAATCTCTAATTTAACCTGTTTCTTCAATTTGTCGATTTCCTCATCCACCTGCCCATGACTCCTTCCATAAACAATTCTGTTTTCTTTTTCTTCATCATCCTGTAGCTCATTTAACATGCGTCGGCACTCTTCAGCTATCTCATCAGGAGTTACATGTCTCTGAAGGTTTCATGTCATTCAATCTGCATTTTCATTCTTGTAACCTAACCTGATTATCATATGAATCGGTTGAAAGCTTTTTTTTGAGAATCTCAAATCTGTAAGAACAAGTTGAGACGAAGCAAACTAAACGGGAACCAACTTATGCCAGTTGTCAAGCTGTTTGTATCCTCCTCCATCATTTCCATTCATAGCTTCAGGATCACACTGAGGCAAATCACCTTTCATGCGACGAGGATGAGGCTCTGGCACAGTTTCACATGGCTTCGCTGAACTTGTTCGAATAGAATTCAAGCGATAAGTTCGTTCAATCTAAACAACAACGAAAAAATGATTTGGCTACAGAAAAAAAAGAAAAACAAACAGGAATTTCTATTGGATCAAACAAATAGTCTTTCGGTGGTTCGTAAACCTTAAAGCAGAATAAGAATCAGTTTCCAGAAGTTTTATCAAAACCAACTTGCTCAGGCTTCATGAAAGTGGGAGGTAAGTCCGATACTTTGACGGTGACAATAGGATAAACCCTATAATAGAGATTATGATAGAGAAAATATGAGAACAAAGAGAAACCTTTTGGGAGGCTTCTTATGGAGCAGATGTCTTTCAGTCGTCATTGTGGAAGATGAGCGTGCATTCTCTATGACTATTTGTGGTTCTTAATATGAGAATCAGATTTTATTATGTGAATCTAATACTGTACCTTCGGTGATGTGTGTTGTAACATGTCGAGTTACTGTGATTCTCTTCACTTCTGGAGAATTCTTCGGTTCGAATATGATGTTAGAATTTGACGACGACTCATCCATTCCATAACGAAAAATTCTGATTTCGGTCGGACGAGAATAGCTTCTGGAAAAAAAGAGCAGGGCGTATAGATGTTAGAGCTTAGTGCAAGCAACCTCGATCGTTTTTTAGAAGATGAAGAAGGCGATGACAAAGAAGCAGCAGAAGACGAAGATGAAGAAGAACTTGATGTTGGTGGAGGCACTGATTCAGCACGTATACGAGGCTGTGAACAAAATATTTATTTTAATAACATAAAATGGATTTTTACTTGATAATCTCCATTTCCAAATAAGGCTCTTCGTTGGCTGACTAAACCACGTGGAATAGTATCTTTATCATCATCATCTTCATCAATCAACATAACTATAGCATATAATATATATAACTGAATATGTGAATCTATAGTATATTAAGATGTTCATAAAAAAAAAAGTTTCGAACAATGGAACGGTCCTTGAAAGAGAGAAGGATTTCAAATGAGTTTTCGAGACAAAACGAATAATTTGCAGATGGAATGAAGGTTACGGACAAGACACCAAAACCTTGATTTCCATTTTTGGTTTCAGAAAGACAAAAAAACAAAAAAAAAGAATAATCAGAACGAGAAGGATGTGGGCAAGTGAGATGAAGTAGATAAAGGAGTTGGTTGTGTGTGTGTATGTGTGTGTGCAAATGAAGAGATGATGGCTTGGATATGAAATATGGATTTCATATGAATATGGATTGTATTGAATGAATGAAATGATCCAATGAACAGTTTGCTATTGATAGCACCAAATATGGAAAAAGTAAAATCAAAAAAAGAGTGTTAATAAGAAGAAATAAAGAAGTATATTGGTTAAAAAAGGAAATTTTACACACTAAATCCACGTTCACATGAAGCTATGAATCATAGAGAGAGAAGGTATATATGAGAGAAGAAAAAATAAAAAGAAAAAAAGACAGAAATGAAATATATGAAAAAGAGAGAGAGAGAGGGAGAGAAAAAAAAAACAAAAATGACTACAAGAGAAAGAAGAAGAGGAAGAGAGAGGGAGAAGGTGCGTGTGTGTGTGTGGACAGTCGAGGATTGCTGGAACAACGCATCCCATAACCTTCATATGATTGAAGAAAAAGTTATTTCATGCATACTTAATGTGTGCAAATGAAACTGTTTAGTTCGAACTGTTTGAAGCTTACAAGCTTGATAACCAATCGATTCATAATGGGATGTACGCAAACATTCATGCAAATATTGCTCTCAAACAATCCAAATGACCATACCATATTTGGTCTAAAATCTTTATTTTTCATGTTTTGACCCCTTTGATTTGAGAAAAAATTTGAAAAAAGCCGAATGTTTTCACTGATTCATCCAGCATTAACCTTCTTCAGATGACTCATTTGACATTTTTTTTCTGAATACTCTATACCCTCTGTTCTTCTTCTGCCTCTTCTTCATTCATATATACCAACCGCTCTACATGTCTGCATTATGACTTAATGAAAACTTTTGTTGTTGCCTTAGACCCTTATGTTGTATTACAATGGCTCACGTGAAGATTCACGTAAATCGCAATC